GGACAATACCACACATCCCCTGTTCTCTAAATCTTTGCCCTAGTATCCTTTCTACTTCAGATCTGGTCCTCCATGCAGGCTGAGAATACGCATATATGGATTTGTATCAGGAGTAAGGAGGGTGAGAAGTTCCAAGTTACAGGCTGTTAAGGGACTTTGTCCTTGAAGAAAGCAGTTCTCAAAAGATCGAGAACAGCATACTTGTCTCTGTTATTTGGGATGGGAAGGAGAGAAACGAAAATTTGGGGTGTAGAGTGGGAAGGGAAGGGGGGAGTCGAATATAGAAAATGAATGCATATCTTGACATTTGGACAAGGAGGCAATTTACATTCCTCAGTAGGAAGAATCTGTAAATGAAGGCATGTCCATACTGTTGAAGCGAACTTGACTGTTGTAAATAATGAAATAGTCTCTGTGTTCTGATAATGGACAGATTTCAGTGATGCAGTAATAGAAGATGAACAAAAGCAAATCACAGAACAGTGATGTTCTGTATGTATGGCCTGTTCCCTTATATATGCAAAACAGAACACAACAGAGAGCGACTGAAACAAGCAGCTTGAAGGACGTACGTGTGTGTTACGTGTAAGCTCAAAAAGGGTCTGGAGAGATGCGCACCCAAATTAACAGCGAATTTCCCATCTGAGGATGGGTGGATTTGAGCAGAGACTTAGTAAACATTTCACTCTATTTTGTAATCATTGAATTATGGCAAGAGTGTTTTTTTTTTAATTAAAATAATAGTGAAAAAAGAACTATTAAAACAGTAAGAAGTACCAGTGTGGGTAAGAGGAGGAGGGAGGGGCTCTGACAGTGGGCTGCCTCCACAGTATTTCTCAGAATCAGAGGTTAGGGCCAGAGGGGTCCTGTTTTGAGGAGTTCAGGGGGGTTCAAACCTGAATCAGGCATCAGAACCACTTGGAAACTTTAAAAATCAAATCAAATGAAGCAAATTCCTGGGCCCATTGCAGACCCACAGTGATCTCAGGTGCAAGGCCAGGGGATGTGAATTTGTTAAAAAGCTTCCCAGGTCATTTTGATGCTGTGTTTAAGGTCTGAGGCTTTGATAAACTTCTGATTTAGTTTCTCTGCTCTGTACAAATGAGAGAATAAAGGACCTTGATGGGGTAGGACCCAGCCTCAGTGAGTTCTAGGTCTCACTCTCTCACATTTTGCAAGGACCGTGTCCTGATTGAAGTGTTATCCCCTAACATTAGCTTTTCGGTATCATCTAAGCTTGCTTTTGCATTTTATAGAGAACGTTTCTTAAATACTGTTTTTGAACTTGATCCCCCTCCTTGATCCACTGCCCATGGCTTTGCCCCCAGAATCATCTTTGGGAGTGATTTTTACGCGGTTTTAATTTTCTTAGAAATCAGAAAGTTGCCATCAGCTTAGTGGGAAAAGCTCTAGTTTTAGGTCACAGGTCTTCAGTTGACTAAAAGGACTTGGAAAATACCTTTTTTAAGGTGCCAGCTGTGTGTCTATTAAGAGAAGGCAGGTTACCCCTGCTTCCTCGCAGCAGGGTTTCAGTGAGAACCAAGTTCCCAGGGAGCAGTTCCTCCAGCTCAGGGACTCTGATGGGTTTAGCCGTTCACTTTGGGAGTGGAAGAGATATTAGAGGTCCCTTAGCGCCGTGATTTTCAAGCTTGTTTTAGGCATACACCTTCCTTCAAGTGAATTCTTACTTGGAAACCCCCATAGTAAATTGGTCAATCAGAGCTGCTGGTTTGAGGCAGAAATGGAGACTTCGGAGCCTTACCTCCATCTCTGCCCCTAGGCCCTTAGGTGCACCCTTCTGGCCGAAGAACAGCCCTGAGAACAATGTTGTGTCCTGTGTGCTCTTTAGTCCAGTTTGACAATCATTGATTTCTTCCTCTTTGTCCTTCCACGGGTAATTATTCACCAACTCTAGCTGATCTCACCTCAAATCTCTTTGCCTTCTCTTTCTGTGGCCACCACCCTAGTCCAGGTCACCCCCACACGTCCCGCTTGGCCTCCACCTTCTAAGTGGGTTTTCTCATCTACTCTCCCCGCACATCACTTGCACCTTCCACTCTGCAGCCAGATAACTTTTTTTATTTGCAAATGTGATTATATGCCTCTTTATCCCCACCCCCAATATAAACATGTAGTCACTACTCATTACTCCTTAGGATCAAAGTTCAGAGTTTGCCCCATTTAAACTGTGGCCACAGTGTTGCACCCTGAGGTGGAGCCATACAAGCTTTTCGTTCCTGAGCTGACTTTCCTTTCTGCTTCATTTTTGCTCTGGCCTCCCTCTGCCCAGTCCCCCTTCGTTTCTCCCTGCCCAGAGTTAAATTCTGCTTTTCTCTCCTTCAGAACTTCTCCAAAACATTTCTCTTAACAGCCTGAGCTAGGACGCTCCTGTTCAGCCCCCGTCACAGGACTCTGTATTTCTGCTTCTCAGCAGTCACTCTTTTCTAATGAAGTTATTACTGATGCAGTTAGCTCTTGCTGCCCGTCTCCATTAGTAGGTAAACTCCATAAGGGCTGGACTAGAGTTGGCAAGGTTCAGTCATCAGTCTGGGGTGTGGTGCCTTGCTATACACATAGTAGGTTTTCCATGCGTATTTGCCCAGGGCATTTCGGGTATCCAGTTCATGCCCAAATCATCTTTCTGGTATTCAGCCCAGATGAGACTGCCGAGGCATCATTATTTATTAGCTCTGTTTGTGGGGGCTGGAATCGCTTCCTGGAGCATGAGGTAATGTAAGGTCTGTTTTTAGAGCCACATTGTCTAAAGTGGGTTACCTGGTATGATGCAGTTTAAAAAGCCCTGAGCTTTGCTTTAATTAGAAACTCGACCACTTATTCTAAATAAACAAACTCCTGGAAAATCCATTTAATCAGTGGGAAAGAGTGTGAGACAGTGGGGTTTGGAGGTTTTGTGTCTGCTGGGGGGACCTCTGGTAATTCAGAGGACTGATGCAGCACATAGCATCCCCCAGAAGGGTACATGGTGAGATATAGGAAGGTATGGGAAGCTGAGGCCCAGTTCTACATGGGGACATTCGCAGGCTGTGGCCACTCGCTGTGCCTGGTCTGCAGAGCCACCCCCTGGTATGTGTCTGGCTGATTGACCAGCCACCTGCACAGGTAGGGACCACACTCAGAACCCACAGTGCATCCAAGTTCACAGCCATGACCATCTGGCCAGGTTGCGTCTCTGTTCTCTGCTTTCATTTCATTTGCACCAGGGTGATAACCTGCCATATGGGTTGTTTATATATATTTGAAACTTCCAGAATGCTGCAGCTATCTTAAAATGCTTCTGCATTTAGAAACTAGATATGAAAGAACTCAGAGAAATACAGAGCAGAGCCACTTTTGCAACCTGTTGGGTGGGGTTCTTGGTGTGAAGGAGACCATGACAAGATTTGTCCTTGGGACAGCCTTGCTATATGGAACTTGGGCCCCACAAGATGGTGATGGGCAGTCTTCTCTCAATCTGATGTATCAGCTGTGCTTAGGGAAGGGTGGCCAGGACTAACTTTGCACATAGAAGGACCAAGCAAAGAAAACCTGAAGTAAAAAAGGAAGCTAACACAGAATTTATTTGTTATCAAGCAGGAGATTCTTGTTCTTCAGAATCCAAGGTGAAGTTAAGTTTCTTACCAAGAAAATCAACCACTACTGTTTTTCTTGGTCTTGGGTTAAAGAAAAGATGAATATATTCTGATACGCTGAAAATTTGTTTTCAGTATTGTCATTTAACTAGAGGCAGCTCGGGGATAGCATAGGAACCTCAAGGGAGTTCCTCTGGGTTTAAATAGTGACATTTTGAGGTGGAGGGGGATTGAATCTTGGGTTAAGTTCTAAGGTGCTATGGAGACGGGAACTATGATCACTTTGAAAAAATTCTTGCCTTATTCTCTTGGTTACTGTTACAAACTTAGAAGGAATTTTCCCTGATGGGTATCTGGTAGTCTGAGACAGCCATGATTTTCTTTCTTGACATATAACCTGTCTCCATTTTGTAGAGGGCAATGGAAGGCTTCTTACTGGAACCTCTCCATTTTCATTAATGTAGCCAAGCTCTTTTTAAACATTCATTCTTAAACATTCCAAACCTCCCTGCCCCTTCTCAGAAGGACCTTAGGGTTCAGTACCACATACATAATAATTTCCTTTCTCCCAAGTTTTCATTCTGGGAGCTCATATAAAAATCCTGTCTAGCTGAGTAAATTTTCTATCCCTTGAATTAAATTTATATCTGTTGAATTCTCTCTGGACCCAGCTTTTTGCTCACGTTTCTAGGTGTCCGCACCTCTGCATGCTCCTTCAGAGGCTGAACAATCAGGTTGTACATCTTAAAGCATCAACTCAGTTGTTTAAAGCACATTAAGAATGCCAAGGGTCTGCCTCTGTTTTGCAAACAAAACAAAACCAAAATAAAAAAAACATTTTGCTTTGCACAGACAGCAGCTTTGAAAAAATTGTGCATGTCTATCATTTCACTCCATCTGGGAGGTATAGGATATATAGCAGCTTGAGCATATGCCATCCTTCTTCTCAGTTGCTTTATTCTGGTCTTAAGAAGCAATGACTTAACATTTGGGTCATGGGAAAGAAATCAACTATTCAGCTAGTTATCTTCCTGTATTAGAATTTGACTTCTATATAGCATTTAACATGTGAACTATAAAGTGCTTTCCTATTCATACTGTCAGTTGATTTTTATAATCAATTTGAAAGGTACTGTCTGCTTCATTTTGTAGATGGAAAAAAAGGGGACTGAGGCAAAGGTCAGGCAATGAAATGCAAGCTTCACAGCTAGTAGGTGAGACCCTAGGATGGACATGGGGTCTTTGTTTCTGTCCTGTTGTCTGGCAGTAGCAGTTTAAGAGGACGCGGTACCAGTCAGATCCTTGGTAGGAATGCTGATGGGAGTGTTGAGATGTTTCCATCCTTTCTTCTCTGTGCCTATGTAACACCTTGGTCTGTGTCTCTTCCCCCTCCCCTTTAATTTCTTTCAGCTTGGATTCCTTAGCACCACTACGGCTCAGCCAGAGCAGAGGACCCCGAGTCTCACTGGCAAATACCACCATGTTGACCGTGCCACCGGCCAGGTGCTGACTTGTGACAAGTGTCCAGCAGGAACCTATGTGTCTGAGCACTGTACCAACACAAGCCTGCGTGTCTGCAGCAGTTGCCCTGTGGGGACCTTCACCAGGCATGAGAATGGCATAGAGAAATGCCATGACTGCAGTCAGCCATGCCCATGGCCCATGATCGAGAGATTACCTTGTGCTGCCTTGACTGACCGAGAATGCACTTGCCCACCTGGCATGTTCCAGTTTAATGCTACCTGCGCCCCCCATACAGTGTGTCCTGTGGGATGGGGTGTGCGGAAGAAAGGGACAGAACTCGAGGACGTGCGGTGTAAGCAGTGTGCTCGGGGTACCTTCTCTGATGTGCCTTCCAGTGTGATGAAATGCAAAGCATACACAGACTGTCTGAGCCGGAGCCTGGTGGTGGTCACGCCGGGGACCAAGGAGGCCGACAACGTCTGTGGCACACTCCCTTCCTCCTCCAGCACGGCCCCGCCTGCCCCCGACACAGCCATCTTTTCACATCCTGAGCACATGGAATCCCCTGAAGTCCCTTCCTCCACTTACGCTTCCAAAGGTAACTTCTCCTCATGAGTTGTTTATCTGAGGAGGCCCAGTGGAGGTGCCAAGAATGGCCTCATACCAGGGATGTCTTCTCCACATTGTCTATTCCAAACTCATATTTCCCATTGAGGAAGGGGCCTCCATTCTGTGGATCATTAAATCTGGCTTCTTTGGACCTATTAGAAACATTTAGTCTCAGTTTTCTATTAGGGGGGATCAAACATCTAAGAACTAGGTCACATCAAGCTAGAAAATAAGAACCAAGAGAAACAAGGACAGTGTGTGGCCTTATGTAAGTCACTTAAACCTCTTCAGGCCTTGGTTTCAGACTTTTCAAATACATGATGATGCAGACGTTTAAAGTTCCTTCTAGATTGAGAGTTTTCCGACACAAAACCAACCCTGGATAGACAGAGTCAGGACAGGAAGAAGGAGGAGGGAAGAAAATAACCATGACCTCTGGAAGGCAGGGTGAATATTGGCCCCAAGATGTAGGGCAAAGAAAGGGGAAGAAAGTCAGAGGCTTCAGAAAACAAGCCAAATCTGTATCGCCTTAAAAGTAGCTACTAGCATTCACATCTGGAAAATGTAAGTTTTTTTCTTTCCAGTGATTCTAACTTTATATCCTTCGCCAGGTAGCCCAGTTTTCCTCAGAATTCATTTTGAACCTCAGGGAGACTATAAAATCTAGTCTCTATTTTCAAATCCTTTGGGATTTAATTTAATTTGCATGAGATGATAGCTGACTCGAGTGTGCCTTCTAGCACACTCTTGCATGTGGTTGCATTTGACCTTCATGATAACTGTGAGGAAGGCCTTCTTCCAACTGCCGTTTGGAAATGAAGAAGCAGGCGGCCCACCCAAACCTTGTTTATCTGTTGGTAGCAGATACTGAGAAAGTCCTGCCTGATCGTATTCACTCACCTGCCTCCCCAAACCTTTCCCGGGTCAGACGTGGATTTGAGTTTGAGCTCTTTTCCTTAGGCATAGTCTCCGTTTTACCTTTGCCTAGTGAAATAGTCTAAACGTGGGAGAGCAGGAAGGCAGGAATCAAAGGACAAGGAGTTAAATGTGAGCTAGTTCTTGGGATGACCAGAGCAGTCCGGAGTTGAGTCGAGCTGTGAATATACACCTGTCTGCTCAGTGTGTGATGCCAGGAGGAGCTGCTGTGAAGCTCAGATGTTGGAGCTGTCAGGATGCCCTTGGAATGGGCTCAAGGAAGTGAGGTCAGCTCTTAAGCTTAGTTTTTACCTGCCTTCCACATAAAGGTGCCGTTAAGTTACGAAATGTGCAGTCTAATTTATTCTTAAGCTCCAAAGGTCATCTCTTTGATTATCTGGCCTGGTGTAATGATAATTAGGAAGAGGAGGGAATATCTAGATCCCCAAATATAGAAAAGCTCTTCCCCCCCTCCTTTTTTCTAGGCATGAACTCAACAGAATCCAACTCTTCTGCCTCTGTTAGACCAAAGGTACCGAGTGGCATCCAGGAAGGGACAGTCCCTGCCAATGCGAGCTCAGTGAGCAGGGGGGAAGGCGTGAACAGGACCCTCCCAGACCTGCAGGTAGCCCACCAGCAAGGCCCCCACCACAGACACATCCTGAAGCTGCTGCCATCCATGGAGGCCACCGGGGGCGAGAAGTCCAGCACGCCCCTCAGAGGCATCAAGCGGGGCCACCCCAGGCAGAACTTACACAAGCATTTTGACATCAACGAGCATTTGCCCTGGATGATTGTCCTTTTCCTGCTGCTGGTGCTGGTGGTGATCGTGGTCTGCAGTGTCCGGAAAAGCTCAAGGACTCTGAAGAAGGGGCCGCGGCAGGATCCCAGTGCCATTGTGGAAAAGGCAGGGCTGAAAAAATCTGTGACCCCAATCCAGAACCGGGAGAAGTGGATCTACTACTGCAATGGCCATGGTGAGCCCCCCGCGGTCCTTATGGGTCCCCCTGCCTCTCCTTGCCTAGTCCCTGTCACCTGAAGGAGGGGGAAATGCAGAGTTCCTGGCATCTCTTTCGTATCCCAAGTGTTATTTGACCTAGTTGTGTTACAAAAAATGAGTGGTCAGCTTTCAACAGAAAACATTCAGAATGAATGACCACTCTACCCTTTTCTCCCCCGGCACATTTGCAGGAAAATGGCGCACGATCAGAGCTACCTGAAAGTGACCTTCAGGGACTTTGTTCAACCTGGTCCTTTAACACGTGGGGAGATGTAGTTCAGAGAGGTTTGGCTGTGTCCCTGACACAGGCTGGTTGGTTGTTCAGGACAGATGGGACCCGCTTCCTGTCTCCTGACTGTTGGAGCTCTTACTGCTTCTAGACTTGTAGGCTGTGCAGAAAATGAGGAAAAAAAACAACTTGTCTTTCTTGCCTTTTGGAATTTGACTCTGCTTTTAGATTCCTATAGCTGTTTGCATATACACTTTTCTCCTTATATTTTTAGGATCCTATTTCTATCAGGAGGATAGGAAGGTCTTTAAGATTACAGATATCCAAAGCTTAATATATTGGTGATCATTTGAAGCTGGGCCCTACATCTCCCACTTAATCACTGTGTGTGGAAAGAGGTTGGAATATTTCAGTTTTTTCTCTCTTGAAGACAAAAAGGTAGTTTTAGGGAAAAACTAAGTAAATTATGGCAAATCCATATAATGCAATATTTTGTTGTCATTAAAGATTTTATAAAGTTTTTACTATGATATAGGAAGATGTTTGTATTAGGTTATAGGAACAAAACAAAATGGAAGTAGACTCTACACTTTATACAATATAATCCCAGTTCTCTTAAAACCTTGGAATAGACACTTGGAATAAACCTTGGAATAAACCTTGGAAAGAAAATATGCTAAAATAACAATGATCTTTCTTCCAGTTTGGTAGGATTTATGTAGGTTTTTTCTCCTCCTTTATTAGTTTTCCCGCCCTTACCCTGAATTTTCTATAATAAGCACATGCTATTTTATAATCAGAAATACAGAGAAAGTTTTTTAAAAATTTATTTTGCATCCCTTTGCTAATTTGGGTGAACGATAAAACCCAGTGAAAATCAGACTGAGGCAGACATCTGACATCAGAGTCTGCATAGACCTGACAACCCTTTGTTGGCAGCCCTGCTGGGAAAGGAGGGCTTCAATCCTCTCCTTTTTCACAAAAGTTTTTTTTATTTGGACATAATGTTAAACTTATGGGAAAATTTACAAGAATAGTACAAATACCTGTATACCTGTGTCTAGATTGACCTGTTGTTAACATTTTGCCCTTTGGCATTATCATTTATTCTCTTTATATAAAAAATACATGTAGATTTTATATTCAATATGTATGATATAGAATAATTTGCCATATATAATATGAAGGAATATATAATATACAGGGTGTATATAAATATAGCATATGTTGATGGTCCCCAACTTATGAAGGTTTGTCTTATGATTTTTTGGCTTTACTGCAGCGTGAAAGCTATATGCATTCAGTAGAAGCCATCGTTTTCTTCTTTTCCTGTGATATGCTGCTGTCCGACACTGTGCAGTGGCAGTGAGCCACAGCTGGAGTAGCCACAACCAGCATGCGGGTGAACAACTGATACACTTATTACCATTCTGTGCCCATACAGCCACCCTGTTTTCCACTTTCACTGAAAATTAATAAATTAAAGTTACATGAGATACTTGATATTTTGTTATAAAATGGCTTTGTGTTAGCAGACTTTGCTCCACGGTAGGCTAATGTAAGCATTCTGAGCACATTTAAGGCTAAGTTTAAGGTTCGGTAGGTTAGGTGTATTTTTTTTTTTAATTGAAGAATAATGGGTTAGGTGTGTTAAATGCATTTTCGACAGGATATTTTTGACTTACAGTGAGTTTATCGGGACATCGTAAATCAAAGATCTATACACACGTATGTCCATAAAATAATTTTTCTGCATCATTTCATGGCCCTTTATGCCTATATCCTTCAGTGTGTATTTCCTAACAAGGATATTCTCTTAAAAAACATAGTACCATTTTCAACATCAATAAATTTAATATGAATACAGTATTTTAGTTTATTGTCCATATTCCAATGTTGTCAGTTGGCCCCATAAATCCCTTGATAAATAACACACTTTTTTCCTCTGGTCTAGGATCAGTTATTTCATTAAATTGCCCTTTAAGTGACCAATCAGAATACTTGTTCTGATAGATTTAATTAGCAGAAAATTAGCAGAGAACCTCCTGCTGGATTACCTAAATGTTTGAAACTCTCCTTCATTATTCATATTAATAAGCAGCAGCTCCATTCCCTTAGTAGTTAGGTGTATGGGTTAGGTTAAGGTCAGCTGTATTTCTAAATGCTCCTTTGCAGTGTAGTTTTCAAAACTCTTGCGAGCACAGTGAGTTGTACTAGTAAAAACTGGTCCAGCAACAGAACAATTTAATACAATGACCTTAGACATTCTCATGACCACGTTAACCTTGTAAACTATGTCTGTGTCCTCACAATATCCTATTTAGTAAAAAGAATGGAAGTGCCAAATGAAACAGAGCCCAGCCTTACCTTCTGTGAAAGCAGTGTTCCAGCATTCTGTTTCCCAAGTAAGTCACACTAGCCTCCTTCAGGTGTAATTATCTCTTCCAACAGTTGAACCTTTTCCCCCAGGTGTTTGCATTGGCATGTTTATATTTAAGGTGTTTTTCTAGGGAAGGTCTCTTCTTTCCAAATTGCTGTTCTCAAAGGTACAACCAGGTAAAATCTCATTATAAAGCGGGGTTCTGTTTAGTAAAAACCATTCCAGGTGCTCAGAGCACCTTCTAGAAACAATAGCTGGTTGATCTGATTGCGGTGAGTTCTAGGCAGCAGACAATCCTGTATAATAAGATCTTTTTCTGGTCCTGGTCTATTTCGCACTGAACTGGTCATGAGGATAAGGGTGGGAATAAAATTGCCTAGCCTGGGGGTTCTCTAAATACAGAGGTCACAGAGACCTCACCCGCCCCTGCCCATCTGAAGCAGACTATGCCATGTCCCCAGATGCCTTGTAGACCCTCAGCACTCCCAAGCCAGGCTCATGGTTCATGCCCTGCCGGCAAGAGCCTCTTCTTTATTTGGCTCACCTGTGCAGATTTAGGAAAAGCTGAACACCACAGCACTGCAATCCTACTGTCATGGAATCCTAGTGTTGAAAGCACAATGAGACCTTATTGGCTAGGAGGCTGGAAGACTTCGGTATGACGGTACTGGCATCTTTGGACTTCCTTCTTTCTGAAGTTGTGGCCATTTTATGATTGGTAGACTGGGACTGTACTGTGGTTTCCTGTAATACCTCTATTTCAGCAACTAGAATTGAAGATCATTCAGAATTTTTCCAAACAAAAATCCATTTATGAGTTCATTACCAGGTCCAAGTGTCGTCAAGAGACAGGTTTCTTATTAATGCTCTATTTATTGTATTTCTGTCATTTGTAAAAACTTGATTTCTTTTTGTAGTATAACCTCAACATAATGGGGCAGGTTGCTGGGGGGTTGGGTCCAAAATGTTCAATATAATTTAAAATTAAGATTAATGTGGCTTCACATTAATTGAGAGGTTGTATGGGAAACAGTATTTTTTTGTTTGATCTATCTGGTCACAAAAGACACAGAAGTAAAGATAGTGAAACCAGTTCATACACAGCTGACCATGCATTCACTTCCTTATGTCTTTGGAAGATCCAGAACTGTAGCCTGGTCCCATCTGAGAACAGGGGGCGGGCATGGCTGAGAACAGGAACCAGTTGCTGTTTTCTCATTGCCATTTCTAATTTGGGCCATCTCTGTTTACCCTTCCTTTTTTTCTTTCTCCCCTCTCCCCCTTCCCCACATCTCTTTTTCCCCTTCTCTTCTTTAGTCTCCCTTCCCTTTATTTGCAAAAAAGGATGAGGTTGGGTTCCCAGCCACCTGCTGACCTGGAGATTTTGAGGGAAGTGTGAAAAGCAGGCGAGGCGTGGAAATTGCCCTGCAACTACTTGTGGAGGAGGCTCTGCAAGGTGATAAAGGGAGTGACAGACCCACAGTATCTCTCTTGCATCATATTTCCTTTTCTTTCAGACTTCAGGCTATAAAGAAAAAAGAGGACTAAAAGCGTGGATTTATCTCGTTTAAGCTGCACCTAGTTCCCAATTAGTGCATGCGGAGTCCTGTGCCATAGGGAGATAGTAAGCATTTCACAGGGATGGCAGTCCCTTCTGGTGCAGACACAGAAAGCATCTCCTTTAAGCTGACTGCAGAAGGAGGGATTGTGAAAGCTGCTGGCACATTTTCTCAAGCAGGCTGATTGGTTAGCTGCAGCAGCAAAAAGGGAAAGATTTCATTGTCTAAAACTAGATTCTAAGATGCAATTTCTTAATTCCTGTAGCTCTCACTGTCACCATTTAACTGTGTGTATGTGGTTTGTCTCCCCATATTGGTTATAATCTCTTAAGAGTAGACACTGGGTTTATTGTGTGTCCCCTATGCCTGGCCACAAGCACAGGGCTCAAGGAGAGGTGGCTAAAGCTGAGCTGCCCCAGCTGGTAGCCACAAGAGCTATTTAATTTGAAACTACAATGAACTGAAGTTAGAAATTCATTTTCTTGGTTGCACCAGCCATAGTTCAAGTGCTCAAGAGCCCGTGTGGGTAATAGTTATGATACTGGACAGGATGGATAGAGAACCTTCCGTCATAAAGAGTTCTCTTGTTTAGTACTGGTCTAGAACACCCATGGACTGACTAGTCTGCTTTTCCTTTTCAAGGCTGGATTAGTTTCAAACCATTGAACTGTTGGATTTTTTCCTTTTGACTTGCAATGATACGTGGTGTTTGAAATTTACATAAATAACTTAAGGAGGGTTCTTTAAACTAAATTGCCATAGATTGCAAGAATTATTTTTTCAGAGCTAAGGGAGGCTTCCATGACAGCAGTGCTTTAAAATATGCAAAAACTGGCTACAGTGTGCAAAAAGATGGCAGTTATTCCTCCATCTGCTTTGCTTCTTTAAAGTGGACCAGAACACTTGGGCCCATGGACACTGGCGAGCGGGGTGATGGGAAGAGAAAGAAACCAGTGAATTCAAAGGCCCGGTGCACCTTCGTAAATGCTTAGGTGTTTGGGTTAAGCAAAATGGAAATGGGTTAGTCTTGTGGGTGGCCTTAAGCAGAGCAGTTTGTGGGAGTCACGTGCTTGGGTCAGAGGTGGGAGCAAGGGAGGCAGTGGGGGTGAGGATGTTTGGAAGGAAGGCAGCACCATAGACTAGAAATTACATCCATGAATCTGGGTTCAGTATTCTGGATTTACCATTCCCTAGTCATTGCAGCTAAGACCTGTTAACGTCTCTGGCCTCTGTTTATAAGCTTAGAAAAAAAGGTGCTAAGATAATGCAGTGAAGAGCAAAGGCTGAAGTCTGGTTCCGCTTACTAGCTGTGTGATCAAAGGTGAACTGCTTACCCATTCTGTGTCTCATTTTCCTTACGTATAAAATGGAAATAATGGTAGCAGCGCAGAGTTCATGGTGGGAGTTAAGTGAAAGTGTGTCGAGTGCTTAGCACATTGCTGGCCGCATGGCCAGTGGTCCGAAAGTGCTAGCGGGGATGGGGGTGAGCGGGGGATGACAGAGTGGATGCCTCATCGTCAGCATCACTGCCGTCCTTGCCACCTCCAGCCTCCCTAGTCATCTCTTGGCTTGTTTCCTGTTTCACTCTCAGAAATAACCACCATGAAAAAGAAATATTCTGCTCTACTCATGTAGTATCAGAATTGCCATCTTAAAAGAGTAGATTAGGAATGTGGTTTCCCTCTGTACCAGGTATGGCTAATTATTAGCTTAATTAACCTACTGTGGTAGACACTGCCCTCTCAAATGGGCAGCAAGTCTCATAGATAATCAGACAGGACTCCCTATTAGCTTTATATTAGCTGTGGATTTACTCTCTTCACAGAGATATTTATCAGTCTGTATACCAGGGGTCAGCAAACTAGGAAATATCTTAGACTTTGAGGGTCACACAGCCTATGCTGCAACTACTCAGCTCTGCTTTCGTAGTAAGAAAACAGCCATGGACAACATGTAAATGGTGGACGAGGCTGTGTTCCAGTAAAACTTTATTTGTAAGAACACGTGGCTTATCCAGCAAGCCCTAGTTTGCTGGCTCCCGATCTACATCATAGAACCGTCATCTCCAGCAGCAGCTTCTCTCTTGCCCCCTGGCAGCTTGGACAATTTGATCAAGCAGTCTGGTTCTTCTTGGAGACGTTCTCGAATCCTGGCAATCAATACTCAACCTCTTAGCAGTACCATTTCCAGTTTGCCGACGGGGGGGTAAGTCACAAAGCAGGGCCATCAGATATGTGTGGGAGCTAGGAAAAGGTGGCGGTTATCCTTGAATTTGTCCCACACTGTTCTATCTCCTCCTCATAGAGATCACTTTTTACCGGGAGAGCTTGATCGTACCTTGTGGGTCCACCTCACAAGTGTACCTGCCATGTACGTGACACAACCTGGCAGACCAGAGTCCTAGAGGAGGAGAGAGAGCAGGTTGGGTTCCAACCTGTCCACCTACCTTTCATCTATTTGCTCAGGGAACAAATAGACTTTGAGGGAGAGAAGGGCCATGAAGAGTAAGCGGACAGATGCAGCCAGCTGCAGACACCAGCCAGCCGCCCCTGCTTTCCTTACAGGGAAACCGAGGGAATGAATTGTTATGTCCAATATCTTCTTAGCTCAGTGCCCATTGGGTGGCACAAGAGGAGAGTTGGGAGGAAGACAGGGCTCAGGATCTGCTCCATGGGGTAAGGCTCTGCGATGTGGTCCTTTTAAGAGGTGTGAGATGGTTCAACAGAGCTAGGGGCTCATTCCTCAAAGGCTGGCTGGCAGGATGACAAAGGAGCTGCAGGCAGAGTAACATTTGGCTGTGAGAGTTAAATTCGGCCCTGGTTCTGTTGCTAAAAAGCTGGATGATACAGCAAAGCACTTCATCTCTTTGAATCTCAACTTTGTCTGTAAAATGAGGAGAGTTGAACCCATCTCAGGAGGGTTACCCGATTTGGATCAGTGTGACTATTTTGCCAAAACTGAGGGTGCTGCTGTCAGGCTGATGTCTGTCCCCGGAAACCCTGCCCTGCTTGGCCCTGCAGCGTGCTGTAGAGTGGAGTATGGTATGCTGCTGCTTAGAGATACAAAGCCAGGCCTAACCCCACACTGGTGTCAGAGAAGGACTGTGTGCTTATTGCAACATGAAAGCGCTTTCCCCTTTGTTTGCAGTAGAGTAAGGTTAGGAAAGCAAAAACTTCCGCTAAAATTGGAGCACATGGTTGGGGTGGACCAAGAGAACCTGAAATAACTGCATGCTTTCAGGGAGAGTATGAGACGTTTTTATGGTGGGGTAGAGATTGAATAGTTATCCCAGAACTAGTATTTAGAGTCTTTCAATCCCTTCAAATATTTTAGAAGTTCTCTTTGTGGCTGGGGCTCCCTGAACCATATGAGGCCATGAAGGTCTCTCTCAGCATAAAAACTGTGAAGTGAATGACAGTCTTGAGTAGGGCTTCTCTACTCTTTTGCAGTCAGTCATGACTGAGTG